GGCAACGGTTTCTCTTAGCATACCGTTTAACTCCGAATGAATCCACACCGAATGGCAAAATCCCTGCAGAAGCGCTAATGAGCCGGCTTGTTTACTTCCATTTCGTCTCTTTCCGATTTAACTGATGTGTCTTTGGGCAACTTGATTTCGTGAGCTGTTCGCAATTTACGGCTCATTAGCGCTTCTGCAGGGATTTTGCCATTCGGTGTTGATTCATTCGGAGTTGAACGGTATGCTAAGAGAAACCGTTGCCGAACTTCATCTGTAGTCTCCTCCCCTCTATCAAACTGGTGGCGCAGTTTGAGTGTATTATTGCATTTGCGGGCGAGATGAACAAGAAGATGTAAATCAATCACATTGTACTTTGAACGCAACTATGGCTTAATGCAGGTGCGCGTGTAAGTACACATCTTGGGACGACAATTACGTGAAAAAACCTCACTCATGAAGGTTGTCGCATGGTTTTAAACAAACTTACAGAGCAATCATTTTGGAACCCATGACCTTGGATAGACGCGAAATGTTTTCCTGCTGATGTCATTGTGAGATTGGTGTAGTCCAACTAACCACCTTAATTAAGCCGCCGCGTATTCTGCCACCCCAAATCTCACTCGGACAGGTATCTTTCTCCACTAGCACTATTAATGGAAATCTCTGTGTATTTGATGCTTGTGGGTTGCAATTACGCAGAGGTTCTGGCAGTCTATAGGTGCGTGGGGGTGGGAGGGAAGTGAGTAAATAATGTGCAACAAAGGTATGGATAAATATAAACAGTATATGCATGATCAGTGTGCACTAAGATTACCCAAGTGATTATCAATCTATATATCGATCGATCACCGGTGTTGTTATTATCATAGTTGATTTTGTTACTTTACATGCTTTTATGAAAAGCGATCTAGTCTACATCTCAGTTACACACACATATATATGTACTGCTTTACCAGTGAGAATATATTTTGTTGAAATGTGCTCACGTTTTTAATACACAATGCACTATTTACTTATTGACACCTCAAATTGATCATGCCAGTGATCAAGCCCTATCCTGGGTTGTGTGCAGGCCGTTGTATCAAACGGTGCTGCTTACGAACCCAAATGTTGTTGATACAGCGCGCATTGGCAAATACGTTTCCCATTCCACCTGTTCATATCCATCACAAAATGTACCTTTGGTCAGTTTGCGAAAGCAATCTGTTGCGGAGTGATCCAAGAAATCTATAATATGGTCACCATTCTGATGTTTTTCAGCAATGGAAAACCAGATGATCCTTTGCAGTTACGTCACGTTGAACGGGTTCTTCCTAGTATTGGAATTCTATCGTTCTCAAATTACTTTGCTTTTCGCGAATCGAACGTTCCATAAACTTCATGAGCGTTCTAAAAGCGTCGGTCAAACGGCTGAGGATCCCATGGAAGCAATCCTACCATTGGAAGCTAAAATGCTTCTTTCGTCTAACTCCGTGACAGTTAACCACTGAAAGCGTCCATAAACTGTAGTGTACTATGATCCAGTGGAGAGGGTAATTAGAAGAACAACAAATAGTTGACCAGTATCCGTTGATACTATTCCTTATCCACACTTGTTTAATAGACGACTCACGTGGATCAGGATACACCTCTGCATGGGATATGGCACAAAAGTTTTTGCAAACATAATACACAGAGTCCGTATCAGAGTCTGAAGTCTCAGTCATTTGATCTAAACTTTCTCGAAGTTCCATTTCTGAGATAGTTAACAAGATGTGTACGTATCTTTCCGTCATGTGGTCCGATTGTGAATACCCGATTGAGTGAAACTAAATTAGGAGGTTGCCTTAGAAAAACTCACACAAGGGGTTATCAATAAAAATGGCCAGAAGGACAAGGACTGGAAGTAAATAATCTGGGTTAACATTCGTGTCTGTTTATAAGTACACTTGTGTTACTTCACATTCGATGCCCAAAATATATTCAACTAACTCGCATCGATCGATAACGGGTACCATATGGGACAAGATAAAAACGTGTAACTTGTTTCAATGCGACGATGTATCACACAAACACACACAAACACATACGCAAACATAAACGTACAGATCAAAATCAACCGTGAGCATCAGTCAGTGCAATGAGCACAAGCCGTTTCGTGTTCTATGACGACAAAGCTTTCAGTAGAGCTTACCCGTTGAATTACACACGCATCACGGATAAAAATTCACGTAACAGGAATCTCATTCACTGGCGACTGTGAAATAGGATTACCCTACGTTAAACAATAAAACAATTAACATCAGGAAAACGGAAATTTAAATTAAAAAAACAAAGGACCATAATCACGAACGGAAAGCGATAACCTGCGACGGCGATCTGGAAAGTGCAATAAAAAACTTCCCACAGTAAAAGCTATATAAACATCTATATTCTGATCCGATCGTGAGCGGAAACATCGATTGTGTTTTCGTTATCCCCTAACATATTGGTCCGAAA